CTTTAATTATTTCTACGTTTTCACTACTAGCATAGGTTAGGTACCATCTCAGATGAAAAATCACCAGACAGTTATAGAAGCATAAATAGAAAATGAGAAAAAAAATGGCCAAAGTCCAGGAAAACTTTCTTAATTTAAGATGCGTTGTATCACGGTGTATTCTTAGGATAAGAAGAAAACATTACTGAGATACATGAAATAGGCTCTGGGGGACCATAGGGAAGATACATCACTAGAAGAAAACCCAAGGACTCATTCAGTGCAGAGAGGAAGGGAAAGGGACAATAACAGAGAATGACGAGAGAAAAGCTGTGAAGGTGCAGAAGCCTGTGTCTGGTGGGGCTTTTCTATTTCTCATTGTGTGATTTTCTTTTAAGTTCATCAGCTGTTTAAGCACGATATAATTCATCTTAACCATGGGACGTGTTCTTTCTTTTTTTGTTCTTCCTAAGCTGTATTGGAAAAGAGGAACCACTTTTTTACTTATTCTGTTTCTGTAAAGAAAGCGTTGCAAGATAGGAGCACGGAATTGCCACTCTGTGATTAGTAAAAGGCTTTGGTTTTAGATCTGAAGATAGACTTGCCATTCCAAATATATATATAATTTTATCTAATAAAATATATTATTTCTTCTTACAAATCTCTTCTTTCATGCCTTAGGAATGTTGTACTTACAACATTACTATTAGCTCTATTGAATGGACCTTAAAAGATTCTGTAAGTTCAGAACTGTCACCTGTAAGTTGACCTTGCTGTATTATTTGACAGACCTGATGAGAAGGAGTTCTGTGTTTGTGCCTGCTGATTCCTCCTGCTGATTTAATGGGACAATGCTGATTCAGAAATTGCAGAGAAACGCATTATTTTTTCACAATTTAATTGCTTACTAATTTAAATCTGAAAGGAGGCCAAATTGAATTTGACATTCTTGATGGGAATAGGCATACAGTTGCAGCCACTAACAGAGAATATGGAATGAGGAACACCTTAAATGATTTTCAAGTTTTTTTAGTCTCTTTGGCCTTTTATGTGTAAGAAGGCTAATTTCTTCTAGGCTGTGTGGTTGTGCTCTAGCTAGGCTGGTACGAAAAAGGAGATGTTCAAATTCATATGCAACTCAGGTATCTGGATTCTGATCTCTGATATGCTTCACCTTGGAATCAAAGCGTCCATAGGCTTTGTTTTTGTCTTACATTCCTTCCTGAAGTAAGCATCTCAATTAATAGCGTAGATCACCTTTTGCAACTCTCTGATTCAACTTCAAAGATTTCTGCCTCTGTTTTGACAGTAAGAAATTTTCTGTTTCTTACTCTTAGGTAATAACTTCATTATTGCTTCGTAAGAATAAACCTCAACCAGAAATGTATTACCTGACTTTACATGAGATTAAGTTGCAAAGTACATTGTGACCTCAATAGTTCCAATGCCAATCCATGTGGAATGAGTCAGTTGTTGTGTTTCTGCAAGTCTGGGGGTTGTCTTTTACATGAAGAAGGAAACTGAGGGTGAATGGTTTAATAGAAAAGGAAACAGGAATGGAAAGCCCACCGAGGTCTCAAAGAACAGCAGCTGGATAATTTCTGAGAAAACTGTATCTCTACAGCGTAATGCAAAACAAGCCCAACCCACCCTGACAATTGCTGTAGACTTTCTTGTTCACACAATGTCAAATGCATTTGTACACAGTCTTTTTTCCTATGAGTGTCCAATGATTAATCTCTGATTCCTCTCACTCCCTATGATGCTGTTTCAGCACCTAAAGACATTGTTTTCTATGTGGAGGAAAGTCCGTGATATAGGAACACAGATGAACACAACGGGGCCAAACAGTCATTTCATCCTGTCTGATATTCTGCCTCTGACCATAGCTTACAGTGGATACTTAAAGCAAGAGTGTAGTAAGCACAGAAAAGTGCACAGTAAATAATTACATCCTTACCTGGTATCTTTTCCAGAACCTGACCCAAAGCCTTCCTGGCTGTTAGCACAGGCCACAATGCTCTCTGCTCTTCTGGGCACACCAGGGTGCAGCACTGTGTCACAACAAACACGGTGACCACGATCCACAACAGCAGGGCTGAGGTGTCTTGTGAGGACTCCTCAGATAAGATAACATTGCTAGTAGCCTAAATGAAGTGCCTCTACATCAATGCATGCAGCCTGAGTAATAAGAGGGAAGAGTTGTAAGCCACAATGAAATTAGAAGAGTATGTGATCACAGAGTAATTGTGATCACAGTCATGCGGGTTGATATACATGACTGGAGTATGATGATTGAGGGCTAGAAGGTTTTCAGAAGAGATAGGGAAGGAGGAGTGGGGGAGTTGCTCTCTATGTTAAGGTTTGGACAGAGTGTGAAGAGCTGAATCTGAGAAACAGCCATGCTCAGGTTGAGAACTCGTGGGTGAAAATCAGGGACTGGACCAAGAAAGGACATTTGATGGTCAGGGTCTATTACAGGCTGCCTAATCAAGGGAGAGCCTACGGATGAATCATTCTTGCTTCAGGTATGGGAAGTGTTGCACTCACAGGAGGAACTGGCAGGGAATTTAGCTACCTGTATGTCTATGGAAAAACAACATGGCAGGCTGCAAGCAATCCTGAAGACCCCTGGTGCTTGTTGAGGAGAACTTCCTGCTCCAGGTATTAGACAAACTGACTAGAGAATAAGCACTTCTGGACCTGATTCTCACCAATTCAGAGTAGCTCATTAAAGAGTCTAAGATGGGAGGCACTCTGGTCTGTAGGGACTGTAACTTGGTAGAGGAGGATGGGCCTGGCAAAAAGCAAAGTCAGAACCCCAAACTTCAGGAGAGCAAACTTCAGGCTGTTTGAGGAATCAGTGGGTAAGTTCCTGTGGAAAGATGTCCTTAGAGACAAAGGAGTGGAGCAGAGTTGGCAGCTCTCTCTGGTTGTCTTTCTGTGAGCACAAGAGCTCTCTGTTTTCCCTTATATGAAAACAAGCAGAGGAAGCAGGAAACCAGTATAGCTCAGCAAGGACCTGTTGATCAAATGGGGGTAAAAAGGATGTGCACAGGTAGTAAAAGCAAGGATGTATCAACCAGAAAGAATCATAGAATCATAGAATTGTAGAATCATAGAGTCATAGAATGGCCTGGGTTGGAAAGGACCTTAAAGATCATCTAATTTCAGCACCCTTGCCATGGGCAGGGTTGCCACCCACTAGACAAGGCTGCCCAGAGCCACATCCAACCTGGCCTTGAATGCTTCCAGGAACAGAGTATCCACAACCTCCTTGGGCATCCTGAATATTGTAGCCAAAGGGTTGTGGTCAGTGGCTCTATGTCCAGGTGGAGGCTGGTGATGAGTGGTGTTCAACAAGGGGGTCTGTCTCTAGGAATTATGCTCTTTATCAGTGACACAGATATTGAGATCAAGAGCACCCTCAGCAAGTTTGCAGATGACGTCAAGCTGAGTGGTGCAGTTGATACGACAGAAGGAATGGATACCATCCAAAGGGACTTTGAGAAACAAAAAGGAAGGGCCCAGGTAAACTTGATGAGGTGCAGCAAGGCCAAGCATGAGATGCTGCACTTGGGTTGGAGCAATCCCAGACATGTATACAGATTAGAAGAATTCCTTGAGAGTAGTCCTGCTGAGAGAGACTTTAAGTGTCCTGGTAGATGAAGAACTTAACGTGGGCCAGTACTGTGCATTGGCAGCCTGGAAGGTCGACTGTATCTTGGACTGCATCAAAAGAAAGGTGGCCAGCAGGGCGAGGGAGGTCATCCTCCCTCTCTTTTCTGCTCTTGTGAGGCCCCATCTGCAGTATTGCGTCCAGGCGTGGGGCCCCCATCCCAGGAAGGACATGAAGCTGTTGGAGCAGGTCCAGAGGAGAGTCATGAGGATGATAGAGGGTAAGAGAACCTCTCCTATGAAGACAGGCTTAGGGAGCTGGGCTTGTTGTCTGGAGAAGAGAAGGTTCCAGGGAGACTGCATTATAGACTTCCAGTACTTAAAGTGAATTATAAGCAGGAGGGAAAACAACTTTTTACAAGGATAGATAGTGATAGGTCCAGGGCAGCAATTTTAAACTGAATGAGAAGAGATTTAGATCAGATGTTGAGGGGAAGTTTTTCACTGAGAGGGTGGTGAAGTACTAGAACAGGCTACCTAGAGAGGTTTCGGATGCCCCATCCTTGAAGGCATTCAAGGCCAGGCTGGATGGAGCCTTGGGCAACCCTATCTAGTGCTTGATCTAGCAGTCAGCAACTCTGTCCATGGCAGGGAGTTTGGAACTAGATAATCTTTGAGGTCCCTTCCAACCCAAGCCATTCTGCGATTCTATTATTCCCTTATTCACGGAATATGTATATATATATATGTATATATTCTCTTGTATATTGAAGGAGTTCTTGTGAGTGGCTATATCTGCTAAGTGTGGTTTTGGTCAGATTTAAGAGGTCTAGTGGCTGTGAAAAACAAACAGACTGAAGAATTATATTCTGTATCTGGGGACCCATCTCAGCCCCTTGTACTTTACTCCTAAATGCACAAATCTGAGTATGTCTTTCATAGAACCGCAGAATGGTTGAGATTAGAAGGAACAAAGCCTCAGTTTTCACTTTAATCTACGTATTATAAAAATCATCATCAATTATTAATTGTTGAAATCAGTAAAACATAAATAGTTATAAAATATTGCTCAAATTAAAGGATTGCAGTGATAAAGGTAGTCTCTCTAGTTTCAAATTACATATAAACATACAAGCACAAAGTGAAAAACGATCCCACTCTTGGAGCTTTTTAAGACTACAATAAAGCAAGAAACAATACTTGAGTAGAAATAATTCCTTCCTATACTTTCATACATTTACTGCAGTTGATCCTTTTTCAGCCTCTTTTTTCTTCATAAGTACACTAATCCCAAGAAAAGATAATTCTTAACAGACAGATTAGCAGTGACATACTTCCTTCCCCATATTTCCCACTTAAACAGTCCGCACGAAGTAAGTGCTTGGGAGCTTAAAACAGGAGGAACGTGACTGTGCAACTGCACAAGCATCTATTTTCGTTGGAAGGGTGTGGTCTGCTTCTTCAAAACCGACATTTGAATGTATGGAAGGTACAAAAATATTGTATAGATTCCTTTGTAGGGAAGCAGCTGGTTGCTGCATCAGAAGATTCTCATACTGCTGGGGAAGCTGAACAGTGAGGGTCATCCATCAGGTTTTATCATCTGCCTCACAGACAACTCTGGATGCAGGTAAGGGAACTGCTTCTTTCTGGGGAAGGCAAAATAGCAGTCTTCTATCCTGGAAAGTCTTGAGAGCTCTTAAGGGAAAGCTTTGCAATGATTATGCGAGGGCTCATACCGCTGTTTCTGGTGTCAATAAGCAGCATTCAGGAATCTGAAAGTCAACAGAGATTTAAAAGGAGATCTCTCCATGTTCCTCTACAGTAGAAAAGAGCTAGAGTTCACTGAGTACAGGGGTTGCAGCTCTGTAAGTTTATCATAGTTTGGAGAGAGCAGTGAGAGATGGCCAGAAGAGCTAGTATTCTAGTACCAAAGAATGTGGGCCATGGTCTTTCGCAAAGAGGAGAAATAATTTATTTGAAATTGTTGCTAAAATTTGCAACTTGTCTGGGGAGTACCGTATTCAAGAGAAACCTGAAAATGAATGAATATGGAAATTCAATCACGTATTCTGGAGGTATGCGGTTGTGGAATATATTTTTAAGGAAAATAACAAAACAGAAGGAAGAGTAGGAAGACTAGAAAGAGCAGAAGGACGAATGAATTTGAAGGATAAATTTATTCACAGAATATGCATGTTTCTTCTCAAGAGCTGAAAGAATCTGTGCACTTCCTTGGATGGGCACATTTACTCTATAGTCCTTGCGCATGTTGCAGGTTCACACAATAAGAACAGGTTTCTGCCCATCATTAAAGGATCTGTAGATGTTCTGTCTGAATTTTATCACAGCAAATTAGGGAGTTCTTTCCAAATATCACTTCAAGACAGCAAAATGCCTAAGGTTCCCTAACTGAGTTTTACTTCTCTTTTCATGAAATGAAAACAAGAAGCTCCAGAATAAGACAAAAGAAGAGTGGGCAATGAGAACATTTTTTTTAATAAAAATGTGTGTTCAAAGGACAGTATGAAGATGAAAGGGTTTTGCATCTTTTTGCTAAATCTGTCATTGGTCTTCAGTGACCAAGCCATTAATGGTGAGTTTCAGATTTATAATTTCTTTTATTTGACTCCTGCCTTTTTCCTCTCTTTTTTGTACCTGACTCACTCTTCCCCATTTTCTACTTTCTTTTGCTCCCATCCTCTCTGCTGTAGGACAACAAGCATTCTGAACAAAAGCAGTCAGTTTGCGGCAGGTGCAGGTGCAGGTGCAGACAAATAGGTGAGAGTGTGGAAATCTGTTGCAAAGAAGTCCTACAAAGATGAAATAATCAGCACATCCTCACTAACTGTGATATTCACTATGCCCAGAAAGCTGTCTCCGCCGGGAAGTGATACTTTGGCCAGAAACATGTCTTGCAGGCTCGCTTCACCATTGTTGTACCTTGGCTTGACTCTTTGGTACTGTGGAGATGTGGGGAAGGAACACAACTTCAAACATATTTTCACCAAGGGTCATTATTTGGTGCCATCAGAAGAGTGTTGTTCTTGATGCCTTTCCCATTCTGACGGCAGAATCACTGTCCTTCCTGCTAGCTCTCACTATTTCCATTTGTAAGCAGTGCATCTTTATTTTGGCTGGCATCCATTTCAGAAAGCGTTCCGATGGAGAGCTTGAGGTGCCACAATGACTACAGCTCACTCGTGACGTGCACATGGAAGGAACAATCCGAGGCTCATGCCCTCCTTGGTTTGACTCTGTACCAAAGGAATGTTATTAAAAAGTAAGTACCTGAAATGAACTGTGCAGGAAAAACATCCAAAGAGTGTTTGGCCACAACACTCTTTTGGAATCTCTGGGCCGGCAGTCGGGTTTTCAGAAAGTGACAGCTGTTCTTGGGTTACAGTCAAAGTCGCGCTTGCTTCTGATGCCTGTCCTAAAAAGGGGAAGGGAGGACTTCTAATCATGTGCCAGTGGAGTTAATTTGATCCTAGTTTCAATAATTTACCCCTAAGTTTGTAGCAGAATCCTGGATAGGATATAAGAAGGGGCACGCGGGTGGCTGTCCAACAAGGTAGAGAAGATAGATTGAGAAGAAGAGCGGGCTCAGGAGCGCTTCATAAACCTACCAGACAGAGACGTTTCCCCAGTTATTTTGCCTGTTTAGGGTCAACACTGAGCGTATGGCTTTGTTCACTTCTGAAGACCCTGAATAGGCTATGCTTGTGAAAGTGTGGGTATGGGTAAGATCATCTGTGCTATCAATCTTCCTCCCAGAGATACCAGTCTGTTTATGAGAGTATCTCTATGCTGCATCTGTTTCCTTATGAAAAGGGAACAGCATCAGCAGACTTGATCAGCTGTGAGGATAAGAAAGGCCGAACAGGGAGGAACAGTCAAGGAAGAGAGGAAGTTAAAGATGGAAAGCTGAGAAGAAAATGTATTAGCATCTTGGGATACAGAAAGGAAAGGGAGAAGAGGTAACACTTGATTTTATTGTAGGTAAGAGAGAATTGGTACACCTAAAAGCAGGTGAAATGAGCTGAAGGTCTTTGGAAAAGGACCTTGAGGGCAATTATTCTGGAAAAAAAAAAAAAGAGAAGGAAGGAAAAGATGAAAGAAAATTGCTCTGCTGTTGGGAGTCTGCTCTGGAACATTGTTTTATGATGGAGGGTTTTCAGTGGCTGATACAGGAATCATGACCGGTCAGTCCCTCCCTTTCTTCAGAAATATGCCTGGCTTCCTCACTAGTACCCAACTTTGGCAGTTATCAGTGCTGCTGAACAATGCCTGCTGACGTATGGTTGGCTCGGAGACCTCATGCTGTCCTGAAGGACAGTAGCTGAGCTCCAATCGCCACGGCTTTATCTGAACAGGAACTACGGGCATGAATTCATAGGCTCATGGAGAAGTTCAGAGGGTACAAAAAGGAGAACTGCATCTCTACAGCAACTCAGACCTGTGCAAGCACAGAAAGCTTGTCTACTTCTGACTACCATAATATATTGTTTTTAATCTTGATGATGCTTTTTGGCCTGGAGGAAGGCCATCTAAAGTGATGCCTAGCATTCTGGAGGAAGTTAATGAATACATCAGGTCTCTTGACAGAACAGAACTGCTAAGGCTTGAGAAGTACATTTTGGCTGAATTAAAAAAACGCTTAAGTGTCTTTCTGGGACTGCCAAGGGAATTCCTTCAAGAAGCTCAGGATCGTCAGAAACTTCCTTGCCTTTCACTCAAAGTAAACAATGCATTTCTCTGATGTTCTTTTTCATCAAACTACTTCTCACATAGAATTGTGAGATTATCAAGGCTTAGACTGGAGGCCAACAAAACTAGACTGACATGAGAACAGAATATTATGTTGCGTACTTTGAAATGAAAACGCATTTGATAAAAGATTAATGGTGATAAAAATGTTAGTAATGGTAATTGGTGCAAAATGGGGATATCAGTGATAATGAGGATATAACTTCCCACATAAATTAGATAATCATGATGGGATTGGAATTATCTGCTGACATTTAGTTTTGCCTGAACTATATAGGACCAGATGTGACCTTTATAGACACTTTTTCTATTCACACAGTGACAGTGAGGAAATGCATTGTCAAAAGCAGCTGGAAGAAGACTTACCTGAGGCTTCAGACCCCTACAGCCATTGGATTTGTTGGAAAACAGTAGAATATTTTGGAATTGGAGTGGAAGACTATTACAGCTTCAAACCCAAGCAGAATCTTGAAGCACAACTACAAGTTCATCTTTTCCAAAATGGTAAGGAATAAATTCCAAGGCAAACTTTCAAATGCTTTTGGGAGAACAGGTGGACGTTGGAGGGACACACAGCAAGCAGCTTCCTACTGCTGGAACTGATAAGATATTGTGAATTTGAGGAAGCTTAACTGCATGTTTTGTTCCCCTCTTCATGTTTCTCTCCTCTGATTGCATCTCATGTGTTGTACCTTCATCTTCCAGTTCAGCCCCTTCCCCCTCAGAACCTCTCAGTGCGAGAAAGTTCAGGGGACTTCTTGCTGACCTGGACAGCACCTGATGGAAGCCAAGGGCTGGGCAGTGCATTGGAGTATGAAGTTGCTTACAAGCGGGACTGGGAGTCCTGGGAGGTAAGAGCAGGAAGAGCTGGCCTGACCTGGCCCTGGCTGCAGTCTTGTGGCTTGTTGAGAGCTTATGGTCAGTGCCATGCAAATGAGCAGCCTTTCTGTTCTCAGATACTATGAAGAGTTGCAATAAATGCTGATTTAGGTCATGTGGAAGAGACTTTGTTTCTACCTGCAAGTGACTTTCCTGGTGAAATACCACTTGTCCTAACTTGAATGCAAAAATCAATTCTTCACTGCGAAAAAGCAGTGCAATTGGGTTTTGAGTTGGAATTTATTTAACCCTGCATCCCTCCATCATGAATTGAAAGCACGTTTGAAGAGCAGCCTGTGGGCTCATGGGGGAGAAAGGCAAAACACCTTGGAAATGTTTCACGCGTACGAGACAGCTTGGGATGCATCTGTGCTCCTTCTCTGTCTTCCCTCCACCCCTCACCACTGATTCCTGTTCTCCCTCCTTTCCCCTGCTGACAGAAGGCTGCTTCACGCCTGCTCTCCAACATCACTCATTGCCATCTCAGCCACCTCATCCCAGGGAGCAGATACATCGCCCGTGTGCGAGCCAGACCGGAGCAGGGCAAAGGTTTCTCCGGGCAATACAGCGAGTGGAGCACAGATGTGTCCTGGGAGACCCCCGAAGGTAAAGGGGATGGAGTAGGGCTGTGCAAGGGTAGGAGGACAGGCCGAGAAACCAGGACAAGGCAGTGGTCCTTGTGGGTCCCTTCCAAAGCCAAAAGTGGCAAGGAAGCCCCACCTATCATGGCTTTCTCTCAGGGAGCCTCAACGCTTGTTTCACTGGGATACTCCAAGCAATAATGAAATGGCTGGGGGCTGTGCCCCCTGCAGGAGGTCTGGAGCCTTTCATGGGTCCGGATTGTGACTTGGGATGTAGCTCATTAAGAAGTCCGCTTACTGTCTTCCACTGTAGTGCTGGTCTTGCTTCCACTTGGAAGGATCGCTATGTCCTAGAAGGACATGGAGAAGTTTGAAATGCGAGCAGGAGCAAGAGCCTATCTTGCCCCTTTCAGTGTGCTTTGTGTTCCACCCCATTGTATGGTATCTGCTCATGCAAGACAAAGGCTGTGACTGGACTTTTCCTGCCTCTTAGCATGCTGTGATCTTCTCTGTAGGTGACATTCATCCCAGGAACCTTCGTTGCCTCTTCAATGGTGCGTATCTGAAGTGCAGCTGGGAAGTGAAGGAAGTGATTGCCAGCTCTGTCATCTTTGGCTTGTTCTTCAGGGCCACTCCAGCATCAGCGTACGTGATCTGCCAGTGGCAGCATACTTACCTCTGCCCGTCCTGCTGGGCTGCTGCTCTGTGCCATTCCTGCTGATCTCAGCACCACCTTCTTTTCTCCCTCAGGGAAGAGGAGTGCTCTCCTGTGTATGAGAAGGCTTTGCCCCATGTCCCATACGTGGTGCAGAGCTGTGGAATCCCTGTTAGCAACATCAACAGTCAGAGCCAGTACCAAGTGTCTGTGCGGACCAAGACGGAGGCGAAACTGATAGAAGCCTACAAGAACAGTGAGTTGCTTTGGAGAGTCTTGGCTCTCCTGGGAGTTTTTTTGGAACAGTGCCTGTGTGGGCAAGACGTGATGAGAGCAGTGGGAGTGAGGAAAGGTGTTTGGGAGGAAGAAGAGATCTGACTTGGTAAGGGAAGCACGTGGTTGATGTTGTGGGTCAGACCCAGTGGAGCTCCTGGGGGTTTGTGAAGTGATCCCTGGAGCACAGCATGAGATAGGGCTGATGTGCTGCGTGAGGTGTGTGGAGCGCCTGTGCCTGTAAGCATCTGGAAGTATTGGTGATGTTTTCACAGACAGGAGCTCGGGAGAGGTTCTTGCAAAGGTAGAAGAGATCACTTTGAAACTGCAGATCTTAAGAGATGTGGTGGATGATTACAGAAGATGGTGAATGGATATGCTGGGTGTGCTTGTTGATATGTACTCTGGGATATTCTCTGTGTTCTAGTTAAGGTGCTGCCACCTGCAAATGTGTCTGTGGAACTGATGAGAAACCAGGAGTATAAACTGAGGTGGAAAAAACACACTTTACCGTATGATTCCATAAAACTGCAGTACGAAGTCCAGTTCTGGAAGCACAACCAATATGACAAAGTGAGTGACAGCAAGTGCAGGAGTCCTGGGTTTCTCTTTGCTTTGCGACTGGGGATGACAGTTCCTCTCACCTCTTTCATTTGTGCTTCTTTCCTCTCCCCAGACCTTGAAGACCATAAAAATTACCAATGATGAACCTCCCTTCATCTTCACTGATCAGATGTTGTCAGCGTCTACCACATACAGGGGAAGAATGCGTGCAATGGTGAATAATCAGGATTATCGGGGCTACTGGAGTGAATGGAGTGAGGAGTTCACCTGGGAAACTGAGAATGGTACTTTTCACCTGGGCAGTATTTGTCAGGTTTTTGTACGGTTCGTGGATGAAATTCCTGTAGAGAAACACCTGCATTCTTGTGATGAACGTTGCAGGCAGATCCAGCCATGTAACTGTGGTGGAGCTGCTGAAAGTGGTCACTGTTCTGCTTGCACCCTTTCAGTGCAGCAGGAACGCTAACAAAGGCAGTGAGCAGGATGCAGCTCGTAAGCATCTTTCCTGCTTCCCCAGGCTAATACAGCTAGCTGTAAAGCTTTCCACATGGAGAATCAAGAAAAGATCCTAGCCAAAGACCACTGCTGTTTCCTGAGGTAGAGGGAGGCAGAGGGAGCTCAGGAGAATCTCTGAGATTCCCATCTCTCCAGGACTGTACAAAGTCAGGCAACCTAAGACCTCTGTAGACCTCTAACGTTCACCGTGAATTCTGCTACCTAACCAGGCTTTTGTTGGGATAAATTATTTTCCCAGTGAAGTCAGTAAAGACTAGAAAAAGAATCAGTGAGGGAAAAGATGACTTCCTTTGGTCATCAATAAGGTATTCAGGACACATTTGTTCTCTTCTACTTCCCAGATATGCTTTCATGAAGAATCACCTGAATGCAGAACTTCTTATGGGAAGGGGGGCCTCAGATGTTGACTCCCCATTTCTTCTTTCTCTCTTTCAGTTCTTTCACCAGTGGTTCTCCCATTGATGCTGCCAGTTCTCATCATCACTTTGCTCGCTGTTGCTTATTGCAGCTTTAAGTATTTACTCAGGTAAGTTTGTGCCCTTAGAAGGCAATTTAGCTGTGTGCTCGCCATGGGGGAGTGGATAAAGGGTGAGGCACTGCTTGTCTGCTATGAGAGTGGTCTATGCAAAGAGAAGCCTTGGTGTGCAGTGTCAGCCTTGTGCATGGCTGGACACTGGTGCGAGTTTGCTGCTGGCCTCCCAGGCAATGGCGGGGCCACGCAGAGCAGCATGGTGCATGAGGTGCAGTCTCTTCTTCTTGCCACACTGAGACACGAACCTTGAAAACTCTGTGTTGCTGCAGGCAGAAGAAGCTGTGGGAGGAAAAGATTCCAAACCCGAGCAAGAGTCTGCTGATCCAGAGCTACTTGAAGGTAAGAGGCATCTGTATCTTTGAAGGTTCATTATTTCTTTCTTGTTTGTAAATCCCAATAATTCCAAGAGCTCCTCTTTGTCACCTAATCTACAAGGAACATACACTTCAATTAGTCTGTTCCTTATTGCCAGGAGAATTTCAGTTCATATGAAAAGTAGGAAATTTGCAGTACTTTAAGAATTTAGCCAACTGAGTCAATCCAGCGTCATTGGAAACTTCAATATCTGTTGCTTTTCTTTGTCTCCAGATAGTAACTATTCCGAAGGTTTTACAGTGCGATCATAGTTCTGATTAAGACACTTTTATTTTGAGAGGTTAGATTTTCTGTAATAAACATTACTACATGCCTTTCTGTCACCATTTCTGTCTTGGAATGAGAGGAATATGTTTAGATAGCTTTTATTCAATGAAGTATCTCTCCCTCCCTCTTTCCTCCAAAAGTGGAAAAGGAATGAGTGGAATAGGCATCCCTGAATTTTGTGGTAAAACACTTCAGACTTGCAAGAGAAGAACTTCTAATTCTACAGTGTTCCCACTCTACTCCCACTGCACTCCCAAGCATGTTTTTATGCAACAGTTGACTTTATCTTAATTACCTGGCAATACAATAGTTAAAGTTGTTACATGACCTTTGTGTGAGGCAAATGGACACTCACATATGTTCATTTGTGTGTGAGTGAGTGAGTGCCAGGATATGGTTCATACAATTGGCCTCAGCTCATCAATCCAGCCTTCCCAGATCCCTCTGTAGAGCTTTTCTGTCCTCAGGCAGATCAACACTTCCTCACAGTGTGGTCTCATTCACAAATTTACTGATGGGGCACTTAATCCCCTTGTCCAGACTGTCAATAACAATATTAAACAGGGCCAGCCCAATACAGACCCTTGGAGAATGCATCATCTGCATTTAACTCCATTCACCACTACTCTTTGGGCCTAGCTCCATCAGCCAGTCTTTTTTACCCAGCAATGAGTGTATCTATGTAAGCTGTGCATTGCCAGCTTCTCCAGGAAAATATTGTGAGAGACAGAGTCAAAGGCTTTACTAAAGGCTAGACAATACACCCACAGCCTTTCGCTCATCCACTGCATTGGTCACCTGTTGCAGAAGGAGATGAAGACCTGCCTTTCATGAACCCATGATGGCATGGCCATCTAGTTGTCTTGCATGTGCCGTGTGATTGCACTCAAGATGATCTTCTCCACGACCTTTGCAATGTGATAACCCGCTTCCCCATCCACAAGCATTCAATGCCTTAATTTAATGGTTTTGAAAGTTCCCATCCTTGCACTGAATCATCTTATCCCTTGTTTTGTAAACATCTCAATAATTCTGTTTCTCTGTCCACCTCATATAGATAATAGGCTTTCAATCTTTATAGACGAAACATTGCCTGGAGAAAACAACTACTTCTTTCACTGAAATTGAACCCAACTTTACAAGAGCATATTACCACATGCTTTAAGCTACTTGTTTTCCTTCTCCATAAGTAACGTGTGGGTCTTGATCCTATTGCTGGTAATACACTTCTCATGTCTGCTCAACTTTCTTTTCTTTTCCAGAAAGTTGCCCTAGGAAACAGGCATGCAAGCAGCCAGCTGGACTTCAACAAATGCAGCCTTGTGGAGAACATGGATCAGCCTAGCTTCCTTCAAGCTGTGGACAGGTGAATGAAGAGAACATTGTAGTCACACTGTGAATGACATGCTCATAGAGCTCCCTAACTCATGGGAAGCCATAGCCAAACGTTCTGCCACCAAAAAGCCCATGGCAGTAACTTTTGAGCTTGGGATACAATTCTGTGCGCTCTGATGTAACTTGCTCAGCTGTACAGATCATTCTGACCATATGCATAGCTACTTCAGCTTTCTACTAAGCTTGTGTTTCTGCTTTGTGTATACCACAAATACATACCTCATGAGCAATTTTAACTGTCCCTCCTTCAGGCCGACGAAGATTTTGGCGGAGTCCCCTGAAGTGCAGACTGAAAGGACAGAGGTTTCTTCTCCTGCATTGGACCTACAGAACCCATACCATGCTTTAAATGCCCCGGTTGTCTGCCCAAGGACAAACTGTGCTGACACAAGTATAACTTCCCAGACAGCAATCACTTGCTTTGCTTTCAACGGCCCATACTTGTACAGCCCAGCGAGGTCTTCTCAGCCTGAGATGCATCAGACCCTGGAGGTGAGCTTGAATCCAATGGGAAAACAGGAGAAAGCAGCGTCCCTGCAGTACGTGACCCTTCCAGACAAAGCCAGCCCCCAGGCTGCACAGAGGCAGGAGCAGCCGGGAGCAGGTCCTCTGCAGCCCTTCCTGCTCCCAGAGCAGAAGGAAGCGATGCAGTACCTCAACAAGAAGGAAGTTTCACCACTTCCCTCCACCTGTGGGAAAAGCACAGACGTGAGAACAGAAGAGCAGAAATGTCCAGAGGCTCCTGGCTGTCCGGCATTCCTTCAGCAGTGTCCCTTGGAGTACATCACCACAGACAGCCTGTCACTGCCATCAGCCAGCGGCACCACACACCTGCCACTTGCCCCTGCTGGGGGGAAACCCTGTGATACACAGGAGCCCCAGC